AATATGAAAGTCAGTAACAAATCACACAAACTAAAGTAGATTGCAGAAATATAAAAACAAAGCTGTTGCTTTACCACATTACTTTGGGTAATTTAAAGTCACTGTAATAAACATATGTAAACATGTGCACTGCACTTTTTAAACACTGTCTGTTAACTTTAGACCAGTGGCCTTCAAACCTTTGTGGTCGAGCCCCCCTTTAAACCTATAAAAAAAAAATCTGCCCCCCTTTCCCGAATCCCCATCCCACTTCAGACTACCAAATAATTTCACTAAACATTATGAAAAAATTATACTTTTTAATTAAAAAAACCTACAGGGAAAAAAACACCTGCATCACTTGAAAAATAGCATAGAGAGAATAACTGTTGTTATTATTATTATGCTTGCTCTGTTATTTATTTATTTTTTGTGGGTTTCATGCTGTCCGCTAAGGCATAGGACACACAGGCTTTCCTGCTCACTAACGACATTAAACACGGTGTATACACCAGACGCGAGCGGCAAAATACAGTAGAAACCATTATAATCAGTGATGCTGTGTACACTGGATGCGGCGTGACATTAAACTGATGCCTTGTTCTATTTATGACGTACTGACACAAAGTTAAAATGATTTGCAACAGTCGCTTTGTCGCGTCAGTGTAGAGCTGTTGTGGCGCGACGCACAAATGTAGCGTCCGGTACAGACACGATGAGTGAAGCCGAGAGCAAGATATGCCTCGTCATATTTTCTGTATTTAGCTTTTAAATGACCAGCACCTGCCTGGGTCTGTGCGACTTCATCTATGGCTTTTCTCTTCCCTTTCACAAACCGATCCATCTCCCATTCTAAGTTACGTCCTTTGGCTGTTTACCGTTTTATTTATTTTCTTTTTCTGCTGATGGCCCGCGCTCGACTTGAAGCAGCGCTGCTTAGACCGATCGGTGTGTGTCATCAAAGTACTACGAGAGCTATAAGAGAGCGCAGATGTCTCCTTATGCTTTCTCTCTCCGTACTTTGATGTCATACACCGATCTGATCTTCAAGTGGAACACTCCTCTTTACTCTCGCGTGTCACATGACCGAGTGTAATAGCAGAATCGCATTATTTCATATCGCGATATTATCGCAAATGCAATTAATCGTTCAGCCCTAGATCAAATAGCATTAACAAAACTCATATGTCAGGTTAGTCCAGTCAATGAGCAAGTGCAATCCAAAGCAACTTTTCTTTGTGAAAGTGTGTTCAAACATTTGACTGATAAATAATAAAGTGCCATTATGGACTGCTTCACTTTAAAAAAAAAAAAAAAAAAGACATTTTGGAATCAGTTCGGCACATTCACTCCCTCTGGCATTTTAAAAGGTGACATTTCATTATATTTGTCCTTTTATTAAAGTCAACATCAAACAGCGTTCATCGCAGCCCATTAAATGTGCTTGTGTAATGCATTTCTGAGGAAAAGGGATCTTCGAAATATATTTTTTTAAAAAGGAATGGGACTTGATTTGTCCATCTGAAACTGACTGGATTGTAAAACGCGCTCTCTATATGACAGATGGTTGAAAGAAAGGGCTTGGCAATGTCATTTTAAAAGGGGTGTAACTTGTTACATTTCGATGTGATCATGAATTGTGCATTAGGAAAGTAAATGGGAGTCCATTTTCTATTTTCTTTCACAAATGGTTTTGAGCAGTAACAATTATGATCCAGTTAGAACATCTTGATGCCTCATGACATATGCGTCGCCCAGCCCTAAAAGAAAGTACGTCAACGCAGTGTGCAAAAACACGTAACTCTTTGTGCAGGACATGCAGGGTCAAATCTAGCCTGATCCTATTACCGTTATCCATTCCTAGTAAATTTCGGCCCCCTTCCTACTGTCTCTGTCAATACCAAATAAAATACGAAAAGGATTCAAATAACTCACTTTACAACAATATTCCCCAAAGTCCTTGGTTTCACCTGTTGCATTTCATCATCAATCACGGTCACTATGAGACAAAGATGAAGAAAGTTTAAGTACTTCAGTCACATACTGAACCATCCAGTTAAAAACTGTCAATCAAAAGGAGCTCTAACACATAATCCTTCAGCGATGAATGAGAGAGCATTGGTAATAATCAAATAAAGAGCTGCAGACCTGCCATGTGAAGCATGCCAATGTAGAGGAAACTCACCGTTGTATCCGGGCACGGCTTTACCGGCTGTACCAGCGGGGGGAGTGCGTGAGCAGCCCAGACCGACACAGGACGCAGTGATGGAAGAGCCACTCTCTACAAAAGAGAGACACCATAGTGATGAGAGCTGCATAAGCAGGTCATTCAGAATGAGGCACTGATGTCAAAAACATAAGCTTATTAACATATGACTGCTTATATTTGCATATCAATGAGTATTTATTATTTGGCAACTTTGAAGGGGTCTTTTTACTCATTTCACATGCAAAGAGGTTGACCAATCAGAAAAGAGGTCATTAACTTCTAGAAATTTTAAAGGTGCAGTAACCAGGTTAATTCTAAGGGTCAGAAAGAGGGTAGAAATAGACTGTCTGCTGCAAGAAACCTTGACTAACATTAGAAACACCTAAGCATAGCAAACGCATTTTTGTACATTTCTTCTTCTATAGTCACTTTTCTCTTTCAGGTCAAATAGTTTGAAAAGATCCTCGCTCGGCTAGGTGGAATAGAAGTTGGCATGAAATGGAAATTCTATTTAATAATCTATTCGGAATAAAAAAAAAACTTCTAAATGTATATCAATTACCTGTGAACAATTCAGTGTTATTGTTTGCTAAAACTTAAGTGATACTACAAGTATTACAAGTTTTTGGTGTTTCAAATAAAGACAAAAATTTTTAATATTACATGAAAATTAATAACACTAAATATCCAACTAATAATCGAATCCGACTAGTAATATCCATTTGGAAAATGGAAATAAGTAATAAGTTAAAGTATTAAAATGACTAAAGCTGAAATAAAGTAAATAGAAATATTAAATTAGTAAAATAGACAAAAAATTTAATTAAAATGAAAATTTAATAGAAAATTAACAGAACATTTAAAAAAAGACAATTCAAAATAATAAAACTAATAAAATATTAATTGTGATGGAACAATTAATCCATTCACATATTTCATTCTTTTTACATTGGAATGTTGAATTAATGATCAAAATGTCATAACTTCATCTTCCGGTGAAACAGCAAACTTCTCTCTGGTGACGTATGCAGGACTTATCCAATCATTTAGTCTGTTTAAACCCTGTGCCTTTCTTACAATCAACTGCAAGATTTCATTCAGATCTGCCTCTGGTGGACTGAACCAAGTCCCCACATTACGTTTATTTCTTCGTTTAGATAATCAGTTTCCTTGGATGTAGATCCCAAGATAGAATCTGTTTCATCATGACCTTAAGGTTAGTTCAACATATTTATAGGTAGGTTTAATGACAGACATTTCAAGGAAACTCTACCAATCCCCTTGTGTACTAAGAGATCTGTTACTGCCGCAACAATGCATGTTGTGCAAGTATGTACTGTACAACGCTGCACTGACCCAGCACTCACGTCTGCGTTTGTGTGCTTGCATAAATTACATGACTGGCTTGTAAATAAACATCATCAACAAAAGTTAAAAATACTTCACAATCAGTAGACGACAGCGTGACACAGAGCAAAGCGTTCACAAATAGAACACAGACTCGTTCGTCATCCGTCTCGGAGCCAGATGCTACAGGAGAGCTGTGAACAGCAGGAAGAGAGAGTGAGCGAGCGGCTGATGAAGAGTGGGCTAGAGTAACTGGTAAAGAGAGAGAGAGAGAGAGAGAGAGAAGGAGAGCGAGACAGAAAACTGTTGACATCGCAGCGTGTGACACCACGAGTCTGTCTGCCACTGCTGCCATATGTGAGTAATGCAGAAAGCTCAAATGCTTTTCACAGGTGACGCGCAGCGTGCAGACACGCACACACAGAGAGGGAAAGAGTTTCTGAATATTCACGGATTAGCATTTAGGTCTACACCATGTCTTTCCAAACTCAAATGACCTTCTTGAAATTCTGAAGAATGTGCAGGTCGCTCTTTGCTAACTATAATGCACAGGGACTGGAGCTTTTAAGTGTCTAAACAGGCAAAATCATCTTAAAAGTTATAGGCTACATCCACATATGCCTACTTCTCTTCTCTGCTTTTAGCTCAGTCGTGGCCTAATGTTTAGAGAGTCGGACTTGTAACCCAAAGGTCGTGGGTTCGAGTCTCTCTACCATTAAGTATGTGAAAAACAGCAGTAATGTCCAAATTCATAGTATTCTTAAAACAGTAGGCACAAAAAAAAAAGTGTGCATCAGATCGCACGAGGCCATGGAAGAGGATTTGTGATTGGCAGTGAAGCAACGCAACAGAAGCTGGCACGTCACATGACAATGACAACATGTCGCATGTACGTAGCTGTCTGGATCACACATTCATAGTATACTGTATATTCATACTTTCTTTACAGTCAGATAAAATAGGAAGTACTTACTCAAAAGAAGTGCCTGCTCAGAGAGTTGGGCATTATAGGGGGGCGGTCACACAATGTTTTTGTGTTTAAATAAATGATAAATAACACAAAGCCCAGAGACATGTAATTTAAAAGTTGTACTTATTTTAACTTCAGTGCCGCATTTTTAGATTGCCGTGGTCAATGGTCAAACACATCAATCTAGAATGTTTACTTTGTCATATATTAATAGTCGTCCAGTTGATAGAAGATTGTTTTCTGCATTTGAATGTACTGTATTTAAAATTAAAAGCAGCTTCATGTCATTCATTTTGTAAGTCTAAAAAAAAATGTAAAGAAATATAGCATAATATTAGCCAATATATTAAGAGATGGATCTTCAAAATCAAAATAAATAATCATCAGTATCTGTGAACATTTTCATGGCTGCAATTAAATCGTCCTCTATACCTTTACATAGTGCACAATTTAGGGTGTTTCAGAAAGGTGGGGCCCACAACCATGATGGACATTATCACAAGCAAAATCATTCGCCATCATCCTCAGTCATCTCTCCTCACTCTGGTAAGTGAAAGCTTATGTACTGTAATGTAACAGGCTACCGCTAGCAAGCAGCTAACCATGTCCCTTTAGTGGCTCGCGCTATTTTTTTAGAACGGGTGTTATTTGTTTTCCGTGCCTTTCTGAATACAGACACCAACCCATCCCTGCACATCACATCCCCTGCACAGCCTGGAACATAACATTAATTTCCATGCCCTGCCATTTTCACTATTATCCTCACTTGTTTCTTCACAATACCTGCAGAACTTCTGATGATTCGGCTGTGCAGGTTCGGCTGGCGGCTGGCATAGAACATGGGTGGCTATATGCAAATGTTGGGGGCGTAAATATTAGTGATCCCGACTGTAACATCACAGTCGGTGTTATATTCTGATTCGCCTATTTTTCAGTGGTCTTTTGCATGCATGAGATTTACACAAGAAAGAGGAAACAATGGTGTTTGAGGCTCACGGTATGTCATTTCCATGTACAGAACTGTTATTATTCAACTATGCCAAGGTAAATACAGTTTTCCATTCTATGGCACCTTTAAACCAGTTGGTGGGGACTGCTAATTAATCGAGAGGGCTTTGACACAGATGGCTAATTAGTTCCCTCTGAAGGTCATGTCCTGCCATAACCTGTTTTTTTTTTTTTAAGTTATTGCCAGCCACTTGACATCACAAAGTTGATTTAGTGGACTGATAAAGTTTACCGGAGTCAAAAACTGACAGACTGTGGCAGGGTTCACGCGTACACGGCGGCCAGCTCAAAGACAGGCGGCGACGCTCAAGGCCGCGTTAAGGTCGTTCGTGCATCCAGCAGTCATTGCCACTTACTCCCAACTGGAAACATACCAGTTGCCCAGCAACAGCGGTGACATCAGCAGCCCTCATCACCAAGCCCCCCACTTCTTCACGGCAGGAGTTGCGTCTTAAAATAGCACAGATTATTATCAGGTCTCAAAAGCGGCAGCCTTTCTTTCATTTTCTGTGTGTACTGGATGAACGTTGCCGCAGAGAATAATTAAATTACACATTTGCGTGCATGCGTGTTAGAGATTGCAAACACATACTGTCTGATTTAAGCAACATGCTACAAAAGGCTGTGCTATGTGGTTAAAGGTATTATTCTGTTACTATTATAGTATTTATTAATGTTTTGAATTAGCAGCTACTTTTATATTTTCATCCATTTTAAGTTTTAGTCATTTTGTAATGTGCTTTTGTCATAAGCATGCAAGCATTATTTTTATTTCAGGTTCAGTTGAGCTATTTCAGTATCTCAACTTAAACTTACTTAGGTTTATTCCAAAGGCAACATTTATTAAAAAAATTCATAATCCAATATTTTTACTTTATTTCAATTGTTACCAAAAATGATTTGAATTAGCTTAACAATAACAACACTAACTGTGGTTACTAAGTTAATAAAACAATAATAAAATTAAGGATATAAAATTTAATTTCAATCAAAATAAATAATCATCAGTATCTGTGAACATTTTCATGGCTGCAATTAAATCGTCCTCTATACCTTTACATAGTGCACAATTTAGGGTGTTTCAGAAAGGTGGGGCCCACAACCATGATGGACATTATCACAAGCACTTATTATTAGTTATTTCTCAAGCCTCAGCAGAAGACCGTATAAATGTGGCAGTAAATGCTTGTTCACAACCACACTGCCAGCTTTTTTTGTTTCTTATGGCACAAACCACACAAAAGAGGCAGCCCTTCTAGTGAACTCATCCAAATGCATTTACTAGTTTTCATGTGGATTATATTAGTACATTAATACGTTTTAGGGGGTGATTGCAGACACAGCCTATTATAAAAGTGGTTGATAACCTCTACATCTTCTGAAGCCATTTAATAGCTTTATGTTACAAACATATCAACATTTAAGTCACTATTTTTTAAATATATTTTTTCTATTTTTCTATTGAACAAAGTAAGTTGTACAGGTTTGGAACGTAAAAAGGGTGAGTAAATACTGATAATTTGATCATTTTAATTGTAAGGGTCAGAGATAGGATAGAAAACTACAACTACATGTTTTGGGTGCAAAAACTTTAACACAAAAATAAATGAAGAGTAATGAGCAGGTGTGCTTAAAGGTGCCATAGAATGCATTGATACAATATTTTAAATTGTTCTCTGATATCTAAATAGAAGGTATGTGGCTTAGGTAAGGGCAATACATCTCCAGAAACGGTTTTACATGTCCA